ACCATGGCCACCCATTTGGGCTGACAAAATCCAAGCAACAAGGCCTAATCTCATTCTACTACATACTTCAGTTTGATAATTTAACTTGATGGTCAAGTACCTATTTGAAGTAATTAAAGACAAGATCCATAATTTAGCTTACACTGACTCCCAATAAGTGAAGATTCATATTTAGCTCCCCATCCGTTTTTGTTGCACACTTCTCTTTTATTCAGCCATTGATACTGACAGTTTCAATCCAGCCAATACATTTGATGTCAGTTTTATACATACATATATAATTCTTGAGTTGATTATATAGAAGTAACTTACTTATGTTAGGGCATATTTTGTATTGTCTTTAATGTTGAACTTTATAATTTATTATGAACTGATAAAACCATGCACTCTTAGATCTAGCCCAGAAAGCAAAATTGCAAATTTGCACCACTGTGAATGTGATCAAGGAAGACACCAAAGTTTGGTAGATAGAAGACAGATATCATAAAATTAGGATTTTGTTTTGTTTGCCTTACATCCCTTTGAGATTTTTTCACTCATATTGAAATATGCCATCAATTGCAATGGTGAAAGGCTGTAAATCTGCACCTGTAGTAGACTTATATGGCCAATGAGTTGTATAATGGGATCTTTTTTGTGTCATCTCTCTAATTCAGGAATTTCCATAGTTTATAATGCTCTATAACCACTACGCCACACAGATAACATTTTAGAATTTTAGAATTTCATCATTATCATTAATATTTAGATTCCTTCTAATTAAATGATAATAATATATTAAAACCCACATAGTTAGAAAGGATAATAGCCTAGGCATGCCCCAAATTTTCAATAACTGTATTAGCCTCCATTAATAGGTATATTCAAGATTACAAGAGTTATTCATCTTTCAACTGAATGAATTGCATTTTAAAATATTATTTTAGTACATAACAAAAATATTTCAGTTTGGTACCATATGCTACCAAAGGCATCCACAGTTGGGTGAATGAAAATTCAAACCATAACCTTGTTTTCATATGTTATTTGTAAAAGAATATAGGAACTCTTATGTACATTAATTGTAATAATGTAAATCAAGTGTCACAGATTCTGATCTTCATCATCCCTTCAGTTCTTGTTTTCATCATTTAATCATGATTCCCTTTCAAAAATTACAACTTGAACATTTTTCCAAGGAGTTGCTCATTAAAAACAAGCATATTTAAACAACTTCAGTAGTTAATTATAACCTGTTGGTTTCAGCTTTGATAGAATCTAACATACCACAAAAAGTCCATTAGAGTTTGTCAATATTTTGGGTACCAGCTGGAATAGAATATTTAAATAAGCTGAATTCATTTGCATATTTACCATTAATTTCGTGTACTGATAAATGAAAGATCAACATAAAAAATAAGATGTGCCAGGGAACAATAATTCTCTTTGGCAAAAACATCAATAGCTGAGCCGCAGCCCTCACATCACTACATGGGCAAATTTCCATGCATAAATTTTACATGTTGTTTATTCTACAATAAAGAATTGTAAAACTTTTTCACAGAAATGTTATTTTAAAATTGGATTGGTATCATGCATTAAGGTTTCGATTAAATAAATCAAGACTGTTTATTTTATACCTGTATAAATATACATGTATATATATATGATCAGTTGAACAATAAAACTGTGAAGACTATCTTCTTTGTAGTGTACATCTACTATAGCGTAATACAATTTGATTTTTTTTTTATTTCTGCATGGTAGCTTCTTCATTTAACAGTTAAATAGAACAGCACTATTAATTTTGAGAAAAAAAATGTGTTAATTAAAGAATAAAATATCTGAGGATCAACAAGGATCACAGTACATGTGTATTTGGTTACAATAAAAGTTTGAGTTCTGAACTATAATTACATGTATTATAAGCATTGCAATATATTATATGAGAAGATTATTTTTGTAATTTTCATTGGCTGAAAGGATGTCACATGCTATTCGTCCTTTTCTGATACTGTTGCGAATTTTGTCTGTGGAATATGACATCGCATGATTCACCATTTGGCTACACCAAAGTTATGTAGAACATGACATCATAATATAAGAAGCAAGTTTTTACCATTGTGATGTAATGACAGCCAAGTCTGTTCAGTTAGGACTGTGTCAGATTATTCACTTTAAATGATTATATAACTATTATGGATTTCAGTGAACGGTCAATATCATTATGTGGTTATAAGGTCACATGTCAAGTGATATTGACCTTAGACACAGAAAATGATAGCGACCTTGCAAGCTCAGTCTCTGTCACTTTCTGTGTCTGAGTCAATATCACTTGACAATTGGGTCCTTATAACCACATATCAACCTACACTGAAGTCCATTACTTGTATATTGTTATACCTTTTAAAATTAGTTCCTATATAAATATACATGTATACTAAAAACAGTCTAACATTTCTAATGTTTTACTGAGCAGTCATAAAAAAAAAATCAATGTTTGACCGCAGAGTGGGATATTGGACCTGTGGACGAGATATTGGACCGCTTAAGTCACATTGTGGGAGGGATCAACAAAATCTTATTTGCATTCGTTGGTATGGAAGCCAACAAAAGATATATGTATAACAAAAAAAAATTTAAAAGGTATACCAAAACATTTGACTGTGTTCCCGGGCAAAATGCGTTCTATCAACCTCGAACCAAACTCAGTTTGCTTTCGGCCTAATGGCCTCAGGCAAACAGTTTGGTTCTTGAGTCCGACAAAATGCATGTTGCCCTTGAACCCAGTCAATAAATGTATAATATTATCCAGCCTATATCTGCTTTTGAAATATTGTTTATTATGAGCAATTTATATCTGCTTTGAGCTTTTTTATGCATATATAGTGACAACTTGATGACAGTTACTTCCCCTTGCAAGTTTCTCTTTAAGGATAGATAACTCTTGTATATACTTTGGCCTCTGCACAGACACCCTTCAATGACAAAAATACCCATTTCCAACTAATAGTATAATGAGCTCATTCAGGCACCATGTATAGGACTATGGGTGTTCTCACATGTTCTGATTATCTATTGATCCCTGTACCGTTCTGCATCATCACCTGTACATTATAGTCCTCATTTAGCCAGACCTGCAGACTCATCCTTACATCGTTCATCAATCCAGCTGTCCCACAGCGACCTGATGTGACAGATGCTGGCACTAGGGCCCTGTTTGTTGTACAGAGTCTGACACTTAATTGTTAGCTTAATTTTGTTCTTCAGGCTCAGTGTCACTGTGATGTAATTGTTACTTCAAAAATGTCTTCTTCAAAAACTCTGTCAGTTGTTCGCATTTTCATTAATGGTTCTTTATTTAAAGCTAATTGCAATCCCGTATTGATTTTCTTTGAAATCATGACATAGCAGTTTAAGGCTTTTGATCAACTTGTTATTCAAGGACATCATTTAAAATACACTTTTAGATAAACAATTAAAATTGATACTTCAAAGTCCATTACTTAGGCTGGGGACAAAATAACTGACCATAATTAATCTTCCTGACATCTATACAAATCACATTACCATAAAAAGAAAAATTTACTATAGTATGAAAAGAAACTTGCATGAACTTAACAACACAAATCAATTTAAAATATGGCAACATAACAGAGTTTAACATGGACCCTTTGGATTACTAATACAGACAATTCTATCATATGATTTAAGGTCATCTTCTCATGACAACTAATATTGCATCATGTGAAGAGGTTCACCTGAGTTTCTCTGAAGGACTAAATTTAAAAGTATTGTATACCTGCTGGTAAACTATATATATGTATAACATGCATGCAGTATAAGGGATGGAAGGTATTAGATTAAAATGATAAACTTCTGGCATGAAAATTAAACTTTTATACATTATTAATAAAGTGTAAAATGGCACTCAGAGAGTAAAATTACTGGAAAAAATAATGTATATCACTCCTCCTGGGACCATGACTTACAATTTACTATGGGTTCAAATCATAAAATTACCCACATCACCATAGCATGCAGAGGAACTGAGTTACAACACAGTAATTGTCAGTTCCAACAATTTTACATTTGAACAGTATATTGTTATTAAACCTATCACTATATATACTTTATGCTCCACTGAAAAAAAAAAGCCTATCCCCCCCCCCCCCCCCCAGCTGAAAAAATTTTATCACCTTTCTTGTAAATGGTAAAATGAGCTACTGGGCAGATTTATAGCAATGTTGACTATAAGCAAAATGATATTCAAGGTAGTGACTTTTGATGCAAATTTTCTTGACCGCTACGGTTTTTGAACAGCTAGCTAGTTCCAAGAGGTCAACTGAATCTGTGAATGGCCAATCAGAGCACTTTCCAGGCTATCTATAGTGTTAGTAGAACCATAAATAGACAATATGGCAGCTGGGATGGCTCAACTCTAGAAAACATGCACGCTTCATTGATATCATTAACTTCTGGACATATAGCCTATAGGTTCACTGGACTAGAAAGGACATTGGTATGGTGACCTGCCATTCAACCGTATACATGCCCTTACTAATTCAAACACACCTCTCGTACATTATTACAAAATCATCACGGGAAAAGACTACTCACAAACACTGGAATTATTTTACCCTAAAGATAACAAAAAAATATCAGTTTTCTTTCTGATATGGAAGTTGTTGGTAATCCATGTATTGCGTAATATAGTGTCATTATCTCTGCTATAAGAGAACGGTGTTTTGTGATGAATCAATGATGGCAGACAACAAACAGTCCCTCCTGTAGCGCTAATATGCTAACAAATTTTGATGAATAGAAGTTACGCCTCATTTATACTCAATTTAACTGTCTGAAGTCAATCTTTAAACCACTTCATTTTGCAAAAACTTGATTATTTATCATCTGATCATCTCTCAAAAAATGATTTTATATGAGTTTCACACAAAAAATGTGTTATGCGAGATGAAAATAAAATGTACTTTTCATAATTGGATAAAAGCATTCCATAAAACCTTTTACTTGCTTTTCAAATGATCAATTCTATTCATGAAATTAAAAGCCTGACTTTTAGGGCAGTATATATTTGGCCAATAAATCTGTACATGTCATTGACAGTAGCGATTGTATAATTATCTTCCCCAGTCAGTAAACTTGAAAGGGTATTTCAGCTTTTAAAATTTCATTATGACATAAATAAAATATATTACAATACCACCTCCTATAAGGTGAATTTTAAAATGGTCATAAAGTGTTGTTATATCATGTTGAATCGCCAGTTTTTAATAACCACATTTAATGATGTTCTAAGGGATGAAATGAAGTGACTAGGGCGACACATGTGTATTTACTTCAGGTCACAGTTCGACCATCAAAGTGCCTCATCAATATACACCAGCTTTACTGTCGTAATTACCATGCACTTAGCCCACTGGTGCGTGGTGCAAAATTTTATTATTGCTATGGTAATCTATGCCTTTAGGGATGAAATAAATATTTTGTTTGGCAATGCTGGCAAACCAATCTATCTACATCAATTTTACAATTCAACTTGCATAATGTTTTTTTTTTCTCCCATAGGTAAGGAGATGAGTTAAAACTTTGTTATTCAATGATGCATTGTATTTATTCATTGATCAAGAAAATTGACACTTGGTTGATTGTCCTTCCTCATAACACTGAGTAATTTGCAAAAAAAAAAAAAGCATGTATTTTAAATTCTGGAACACTTTCTTTGCCAAAACGTCTATATATACCCCGTAAAGTCTTATATTCCACAAGAAAAACTTCATACAACTGTAACAATAAGTAGAGGCACATTATATTACAATATGCATTAAGCAAAAGATGAATTAAAAAATAACTTTTATTGAATGGCAATTTCTTAAATCAATAATTTATGTCAACACTTACAAAGGAAACACTACAATGGACTCCCATTTTTGTTTCTATTTATAAATAAGAAAGCAAAATTTCTTCCATAATTTAATTTCTTCCATAAAAACAAACTTTAACTGTACTCTTTAAAAAAAAAAACAGCTCTGCTGAACAGAAATATGAGTACCCCTGTTTTTTAAATATCACAGATCTCATGCATTACATTCAAATAATAACAATGGACGGAAAATCTACAAGTGGTACACAGATAAAAGGCTATGATATACCACCAGTGTTTCTATGATATGCCATATATTGGGAATGAGGACAGTGAAAACCCACACCTTATATGGACAAATATTGATAACACCCCACCTACCCAAAGGTCCCCAAGTTAAAATAATATCCACTAAGCACTCTACATTACGACTGCATGTCACTGCTCACTAGATTCTGTGACATTGTACCCGATGTAATAAAAGCTGAAATACAATTACATGTATTGTAAACCTGATTTAGCTGAGAACCACATTCTTGTTAACATTCTACAGCAAGCTTCACAACATTCCCATCAATATCAATATGAAAAAAAATCCCCTCCTCCCCCCACCCCTTTAGGAGCAGCACAATAAATGATAAGATTCAGAACAATTGGAAGATATTTCAATTTTTTCTGATTTTGTTCCAAATTAATTTCATGAAAGAAGACCAACAGAAATAAGTATTTCCCTTAAATTGAAAGCTGTTCATGACCTATCAAATAAAATTAGTGTAGCTATGGTCTTGGAAATCTAGGACTAGAATTGTAAAAACTCAGCAGTACTAACAGTGGCTTAAGGAAGAATTCTCTCAAATTTATTGTATTAATGAAAATTTCACAGCCCCAACAAGACAATATCCTTATGTGATGTTATTAGTTTGATCAAATTTGACTGTTTTATTTTAGTTGCAAGGTCAGGTCAAGGTCACTATCTTTTTCTGAATCTTTAAGGATTAAAAATTACTGTAGCCAATCATGTACATGTATTAACTTTTCATGTAAAAATGTAATACATGTATGATTTTTCTTTTTGTGTAAAAAGACACAAGGTCAGCTATCGGATACTGTAAACCAACTTTTATTCGCGTGCAAGAAATATCCGCGAGTTTCGCGACCTACTTTAACTCGCGACACCCCTGGTTCTAAAGAAATTGGAACCAGATAAGACAACATCCGGATGAGACAACATTTTAAACAATTTAGTTTAGTTAAGAAAATCTTCAAGGACTTTGAGTGTTTTAAATATGTGATTCAATTCAGTATTCTATAGTAAATTTCAATAGCAAATGTGCAATGTTTTCCTACGCTGCTGTTCCACTAAAAATTTAGGACTTCCCTTAATATCTAGATTTTACTCTCAGTTTACCATTTCTATTTTAAATTGTACAATTTGAAGAAAGAAAGAAAAATTTTATCTTTTACACTCAAAAACATGTCAGTATCAAGGAAATTTAAACTAATATACCCTCAGTACTTTGAATATCTTATTTAGCCAGAAACCTGAAAAGAATCCCCCTTAACTGTATGACTATAACCACATCAAGTTAAAATGCTAGTCCGTATTTTAATAAATAAAACCCATCTCCAGGATATAAAATGAAATGATATGTAAATCCCATAAGAGCCACAAAGCGCCAGTATGGCAATCAATCTAGACAAGCACTCATTTCCTGAGGGTGTGGTTTTTATTCTGCGTCTAACAACAGTTCATCAATATTTGCTGATTGAAAATGAGGAGGCTCGAATAGATTAAATGAGTTTTCATTGATTTTTTTGCTTTCATCACAAAAATTACTACATGAATTTCCTTCATTCCCTTATAGAGAAATTTAGGATTCTTTGTCTTAAAAAAAATAACTTTAAATCATAAAAAAAGATAATTTTAGCAAAATGCCTTTCAACTAAACAAAAACACACCAAAATGCTTACAAATAAAGTTCAAAACAAAGAACTATAAAATAAATGCTAATTAAAACTGTAAATGCCTTATTTGGCTATAATTACATAAAAGAATATCCAATACTAAAGTAATCAAAACAGATAACAAATGTAAAGTACTATAATAAAGGTTAGTATAAATTTCAAAATACATTGAACAGGAAGTGACATCATCATTGCTGACCTCTGGTCTCTTTGACTGTCTGTTTGGATGAAGAGGCTAGGGACAGCTGACTACAAGATTGACTGCCTTTTCCACGGAGCATGGAGTTAGTAGCTTTTGAGAACACAGAGTCTAGACTGGCACTGCTACTGTTGTTATTAATGTTTTTACCATTTTTATCAGTGATGATACATTTACTGGCTAGTTGTGTCTCAATGGCTAGGTTACTCCTTCGTATAGATTCTGTGTTTTGATTGGTTGCTCCTGATGACCTTGTGTTAGAGTCATAATTCTGCAAAGAAGCCAGAGAGCTGCTATTGGAAAGAATCTGACTCTGAAGATCCAAAGGTGTTGCATTTATATCATCCTCATCTTCTTGACCATCATCACCTTCCTGGTACAAATAGGTATCATCATCTTCATCATCATAATCTTCATCATCATCACATCCATCATCTTCATCATTATCATCATCATCATAATCTTCATCTTGTTCCTCAAATTCATCATCTTCCTCTGTTTTCTCTGCCTCAGCCATCTGAGCTTTTTCAGTCTCTTCACTTCCCTCTTCCTCAGTTGTCATTTCTTTCTTTTCTTCCTCAACCATCACTTGACCTAGTTTTTCTTCATCACTTTTTTCGGATGATGGGCCAGCATTAGGACTCTTCTTCTGCTCACCAGAAAGTGAAAACACAGACTTCTTGCTTGGGTTAAACTTTCTTCTTCTCCATTTATGTTCTGGGCAGAAACTACAGAAATAATCAAATACATTTGAATTATATAAACAGTATCTATCTATTATCTTACTTTAAACAAGACATTTGAAAAAGAAAAACAGCCATTTTCTTGAAATTTGTGTGCAGGCATTATATGTGATAATGAAAGAAAGAAATATATACTGATGTCTTCAGAACAGCACATATTGGGGGAAAACAATTTTCATAACTTAATTACATGTATGTTATGTCCTTGGTGCTCGACATGGTTGGAGACTGAGAATCATGGGTATGTTGCACTTACTAGCTAATTTTGCCAGATCTTTAGTTCTACATCGAACACACAGCTTACTGAAGGGGACAAGAAAAATGAGGGATTCAGATCTAAATCTTATTTATTTATTTCTTAAACCTGAACAGGAATCAAAGTCAGGCATAAAGGGTATACTGTAGAAAAATGGCAAGTGTATTTGGATGAATCGGCAAGTTAATAAGAGTTCAGCATGCAAGCCTGTCATGTTTACAAGTTTAATTAAGGTATTTCGTGAGCAGTCATCTTGCATATTACCAGCACACAGAAGTAAAGCTGACAAGACATGCTACAGTGTGATAGGTCTACTTAGGAGTGGATTTCTTGGCCGTTTGATCACAACGAATCCATCACTAAAGTAAATCTACTACAGCAAGACTAAGTACCCAGCTCAGCCACACTCTTAAACAAGCAATAAATTCCTGAAATAGGTCTTGTGTTCAACACAATATTTTATGGCTATAATAAACATAAACGTCTTGGGTTTCTATTGAACTGCAAGTCAGACAGTATTTTCTGGATATTCCTGATTTACCATTAATGTATTAGTCTGGTCAGGTACAAACTCTGTGATCTAAAATAGTCAGATGAAGCAAAGGAAATTGAGTCGAGTTGCTAGGTAGCAGAGTACCAAGAACAATAATAAGTTGCTTCATCAGCCTCTATTTGATTTGTCTTTCTCAGACCTGACTGTGGGAGATGTCCAATCACTTAATTTTCTATCCTCTCACAGGAGACTAGCTGGGAGCTTATCACTTTTTGGTTAAAAATAATTCATCAAAAATTGATTAATTGCAGGACATAAAATCTTTTTATCTTTGGGATAAAGCATTAAGAAGATCAATTCTGTAGGCTGCCATCCTCTCTGATATAGTATCAGGCCACACAGCAGCCAGCAGTCCTTTATTTCCTAAACAATTCCCAATTTATGATCTTTTTATACACACCATTTACTCTAATGTTAATTAAACAGGACCTGCTGATATTTCATTCCAATAGACACACACGACTAGGTTGAATATCCTGGTCCAGGGCTTTTTTGTAACACAATAGCCAATATCAAACTATGCATGCATTAAAAAGCTTTCAAGTTAAATTGTTACATTTGTATTTAGTTTGGGCATCAATTTTGTCATCTTAATGTTAAAAGCTTATGTTTTACATTGATTGGAAGGATTATTTCTGTCATTTAATTTTCCTTCAGGGTTGTTTACAACTGTCTTTCCTCATTATCTTTATGGAAGCTCATATAGTACATTAAGCTCAGTAAATACTGTAGAAGCAGAAATTTTCGTTGGGATGAAATTTTGTCGTTTTTTTTATCTTTAATGGTTTCATGGGGGTTAAATTTTGTTGTTTCAAAAGTAACTGTATTCAATATTTAACTATATAAAAATGTTTGGGATTCGTTGATAATTGTTAACAACAAAATTTAATACCCAATGATTATTTCTGCTTAAATTTACAGTAATGCATCAAGTACATTTTATAGTGCTATTATATGTAAGTACTAGTTATCTTTACAACACCAGTAGGAAATCAATTTGACTGCCTCTGAATTTCAAAATGTAGGGAGAATTTTACATTAAAGGGCGGATGGATGACTGTGCATAGAAACTGTAGTATAGTTTGTTGTTAACATTTACTGTAACAGCAGAAATATTTGTTGGGGATATAACAGTGAAATAACATGAGTTCACAGATATAATGTCTCAATGATAAACTTTTAGATAAAATAGATTAAAATAACTTTCAAGAAACAAGTGGAAAAAAGAATTTAATAATTTTAAGTAAGAATGTAATTTTGCATTGCACTGTGTCATAAATCATTAGAGATGTACATTGTCATCATGCTCAAATGCATATAATGACAATCTGTATCCACATTCGCATGATTTTTGATACCATGATCATTCAATGTTCAATTGTTCACCGATTCCTTAAATATTACAAATTTAAATAAAAGCACTCTCTAATTACTCTCAACCACACTTAACTCTGGTGTTCATAGTGACATTGTTTCAGGTTGAGATTGGTACATATCAGCCCATTATTTGAGCTTTTGCTTACCTTTTGCATGTTCCTGCTAGCCAGGTGTCTATGGACTTGAAGTAATACTGCTCACTATGAAAGCTCTTTGGTTGAAACTTGTAATGGTCAAACACCTGCACCTTGCCTTTGTTCCATCGAGCACCAATAGTTTTACAACCATTCCCTGCCCAAATCTCTACATGGGTCATGTGATGTTTCTGCTGCCGAGCTGAAAAAAAAAACAACTAACGTCATCTTCCTCTTTACAAAAAAACACAGTGCACACACACACTATCTTGATCTATCATCAAAAGCAAAGCATTATGCAACTCTTTAGATTATCTTTTCCAATTTCCTCATGATATGATTATTTGAAGGTATTCAACACTAATAGCCTCAGATTCAATGAAATGAAATACATAACAGATATGTACAGGTTAAATACTCAGTATATGTAGACATAATTCCCATTTATTACTATCATTATGTAAGAGTTATCTCTTGTAGTAACTATCAATAAAAATCAATTTAAAAAAAAACCTGTCCAGTGAAAAAATTGTTTTATTTAGTTATTCTACTCCTTATGATTAAAAATATCTGTCAACCACAGCATTTACTGATACTCGTAGTATTTGAATTGCTAATCTTAATTTTTTAATAATTTGCTTGGCCTTATAGACCTCAATGCAATCTTTGTTGATTAATTACTGCTAAGTTATTACATTTTTGAAGATTTCTCTTGGTAAATCCTTTCCTACTCTAAAGGACATTAAATTAATATCAGAGTATTTTATACACAATGGATATTTCAGGATAGAGAATTGGGTCCTATTAGGGGTGGACTACCTTAAATAAACTGAAAGTAAAATCAAGTCAATCTCTAGGGACTTAAGTGGCCCCTTGATATTTTGATCTCAGTTATTGATTTCTGCTCTCATCTTCAATGTTGAAATTGAATATCATTCTGTGGAGTGACATCCGGTAACAAATGAGAAACCCTCACTTTAAATATTTATTCTATGCATACTTGAACTTTAAAAAATGTTTGTAGGTACAGTAAAATAAGGTTTTAACAAGCACACTTATAATGAATTAACGCTTATAAATTATGTTAATATTCATTGTAGTTGTAAAATGCATTGTTAGCCTATTGGATATAAAAATAATGTTTATAACGAGTTAAAGTCCCTTGTCCCTGGCACTTTGCTATATATATATATATATATACCGGTATATATATATATACATGCATTTTTTACTGTATATTCCATATGAAATTCAACCCCCATCCCCCCTTTTTTAACTAAAAAATGGAAACTCATCAAAGCTCGAATGTTAAATATCCTACATCCTTAAAAATCTATCTGTATTCAACTATCGCTTTATTTTACAGGAAAACTGAACAGTAATACTATATTACCAGTAGTTATTGATACCCAGCAAACAGTTATTAATGATATTTAGCAAGAATAGAGTGGTTACTGATACATAGCAAATGCTTGTTACTGATACCTACAAATGTAGTAAACAGAGCACTATAAAATATTAATTGATTTAGCTTCATTATTTTCTGAACCTTAACACAGAATATGGCATTAAGGCTAGCCATGCTCAAAGGACCTGACTCGATATTAAATATTCTCTGTATGTTTAACATTCTTCTTTATATTAATTAACCTCAACAATCAATCATTTTCTTTACACAGGTTTACATCTCAATCCCCACCCTAAAATTAACCCTGCCAATTTAGTTTCTGAGCCACGCTTACTTAGTAATTCTAAACTGTACCCAAGTTCTCCAAGTGAAAAAACACTCAGGTACAGGATCAAGGCCCAATCTATTTACCAGCCCCACATAGAGTGGTCTTTGTCAGAGGGTCGGTGGATCCGATGGTGAGATCGGGCCAATTACCTCAGCTTATGTGAACTATGACAGGTATTTTGTTGAGAATTTTTAAATCTGTCTATAAACCATGTCCTTGAATTGAATATAAATGATGTAAAATCTCTGTATTGGTTACACTTGGGTTAGGACATATGAACGAAATGTGGATTCAAGTTCAAAATAATCTGGCCAAAGCTCTCTGGGTTAACCCCATCAAAGACTTTATTGTGGAGAGATATATTGGTAAAACTGTTTAAATAAATTTAGCCTAGTAAAGAGAAGAATTTAATTAATGCTTGAGAACCCAGGAGATAGTCAAGTATGGAAAAATTATATTAAAGTCACAACTGAGATATATTGAAAGAGTGTAAAAGGTTTTAATGGCTGTCTGAACACAATTCTACAATGCTCCAGTAGTCACAAAATTTGCTTTTGCAAGAAAGATTCCCTTCATATTCTCACTTATTTTAAGGTTTTCTTTTTAAGAACTAATGTTTAATCTATCTTGCACCAAAGACAGAGTACAGGAAAATTAGAAGGAGTTGGGAGTTTATTCAAATTTTATCTATACAATCCTACTTTTCAAGGAACTTTGTTTTACCTTTTTTACAAAATGTCCTGGTTTACTCAAACTCTGGGAATGATAAAGTGAATGTAATCCATAAAGTGTTTTACACAAATTATGACTGGGGTAGGTGCTTACATTTGGGATTAGGGTAAATCCCTGAGATGAATACTAGGTCCCCCGCCTTCATATCTTCCTCTCTCTCTATCGTGATTGGCAGTGTGTCATACATGTATGCCTGGTTCCACGGCCCAATGCGGAATCCAAAGTCCTTCCTCAAATCCAACATAACCTGTCGTACCAAACCGCAGCAGTCAAGAAAGCGCTTGGAGTAGTATTCCTCATCTAAAAACATTTAATTCAGTGTGAAGGCGCAAGAAAAAAAAAGACTCTCAAACAAAGAATTTAAATAAATCAGCATTACTGTGCAAAAATGATTGTCCCATTTCTCTTGACTGACTCCTGGTTTGTATTCTATTTCTCTACATTATTAGTATTCATGTTAATACATCCAAACATTTAGTGGCTGGCATGGCGCACAGAATGATCACAATGCATGACTTTATAATATCACATGCATTGCGGTGATATAAGGTTCCCATACCATCTGGGGTCCAGTATCGTTTTGCATATGGTGTCCCGAAATATTTCTTAGCCTGAGCAACAAATTTGGCTCTCAACCTCTGCATCTGCTGAGGATTTCTTTGTTTTTTCTTTCTTTTCCGTTTCATTTTCTTTTGGTTTCTGATCTCCTTCTGTAAATATATGTACCTAATGGAGAACATATATGCAAGTACTGGTAATTCAGAATACTGTAAAATCACATTTTTGTGGGATAAAATTTTTGTTGTTGGAGGAAAAAAATATTGGCTCCTGGGGATTTGATTTCATGCTTTGTAGACAAACATAACTTTAGTCTCAAATTTTACATTTTTTGAAGGACATGAATTCATGGGGCTGTTCATACCCTGAAAACAACAAAAATTAAACCACCATGAAAATAAATGATTTCACAGTCTATATATGTAAGTAATGGTGAATATATATGTAAGTATCAGATGAGTTCAACATCTCTAGAGGAACAATTGCTCATCTATGTTAAAGGATTCAGATGTAGAAAAGGTTATCGATATCTTTATAAGAGATGTTTAATACAACTACTTGGAGAGAATTCCTCTCTTTTTGTAATAAAGAAACGATTATGACATCATACAATAACATATACATGGTCACAAGTGAAACATTCCACACACTGCAAACCATACTAATACAAGTATATATGTCTGTGTTTATTACAAGGAGAATTTGGCTAGATCTGGACAACATAAAGGCAAACCATTTCAACAACTTCATTTTATCTAATGCCTAATTGCAGAAAGTTATGTAAGCCACTAAGAATTTTTTTCTGACTATGGTCTTGTTGTTAAGAGCAAAAGAAAAAAAATTTCCTTAAGCCAAAACAAACTCATTATCTAGAGAATCTCTTTACATTGAAATATCTTCCACTTCAAGTGTCTTGAATACTGATATCACTGTTAGCTCCATTCAGTGCAATTATTTAAATCCTTAAAAAGAGTAAAATATAAACACCACTCTGAGTTATTTTGACACAAACAAAACCTTGTTTTTTGTTCTTTTAATGCAAGTCTTTTTACGACTGCCCATATCCTTATTATCCATCTAGAAAAGAGAAGATACGTGACATAATTAAGAAATTCTATGAAATCTGACTTCTTCTTGCAGAGGTGTGTAGTCATAGCAATTAATATACAGAAATTGCATAATAATTTCCTAACTGACCATACAGGATATATCTACATTAAAGTAAGAAATGTGGTAGAAACCATTTTCTTTGAGTACTAGTCTATGCCTGTCTTCTGGTAAGACACAGTTGTTTGTTTCTTATCAAACCCAATACTTATAAAGAGAGCCATTTCAGATTAATCAAACATTATTTACTTCCATATTAAACCTTGGAGAGAAGGGCATGACCTCTATGTTGTCAGCTAGGATCACCCTTCTCCTCGCTTCTCTCTCCAATTCCAGTATCTCTCCCATAAAATTGATTACCCAAATCAAATATTGATTAAACAATTCAGATCAGGGGAACCCTTGTCACTACCCTGTCACCGAGCTTGGCCAACCAACAACGAACAATGGACATAGTTTGTCCAGGACAAATATGGCTTTGTTGTGCGTCTTTGTCAGATTTAATATACTACACTACATCAGGAAGTTTTATACAGCAAAGTGTAAGCTAATTCTTTCCTTTCTTCTCTTAACCACATTTAAATGAGGTGTGCCAAACTGTTTACAAGTCAGGAAGTTAAAGTCATGGTGACAAGTCTCCACAAAATCATCAGATCTTTTTTTTCACAAAGAGGAGTTTCCCCTCTTGACTTTCACTTTTAAAAATCACTTACAAAATATTTACTCCAAGAGGCTAATACAAACATGGCTTACATATTGCATTATCATTGCTAAAATGTATTTGAGTATTTATCTATTTCTGTCCAACACAAAAACTCATTATGAACAAACACTAGCAATTTAAAACTGTTCATTTACACAACAAAAGATAATGAGTATGCGGAGCTCAAGAGTATCTACAAAATCAATGCTTGTAAAATATTCAACTCGCGGCCACCATCACTGTTTATTGTATGAAGGTCCCCCACGCCTAGGAAGCCCCTGACACAAATAAGAGATACCATAACTACAACAATGGCCGGGTACCAAACCACCCCATAATTCTTTGTTCCTGTCCACTCAGAGTGCTCAGGGTATTGACTAGACAACTGTAAATCATGATTAACCTCTGTTAAGAATCGTTTCTCTGCTGTCATCAAACCTTCCAGCAAACACAAGACCCCCTCCATAAAGATAACCTCAGTAAGATAAGCTGATATAGCTCAACAATTTCTCCACCATATCTGCCATATTAACCACTTTAAAATGGTCCCCAAAACCTATTACAATACTGTTACCATGATAAACCTGATCTTTGAACTACTGGCTACAGAAGCATCATGGTTTTTGGTACTTGTATCTTCTAGTCATATTCATATCAATGTGTAGTGAAAATGTTACTTAGAAGTGAACAGTTGCTGAATAATGAAAAATCAAAATCCAGATTAAAACAACATACAACAATTTCTATATATGATTATGTACTTTATCTCTGAGTTTTCATTATTCATTGCTTTCTGAACAGTTTAATTTTTTTTGAAAGTTTTGTTCCACATGACAAGAATTTTGCATCCTCCATGAATGACAAGGCAAAGTGATATCAATGACCTGGCAGAACAGAGACACTAGCAAAATACTATCACCACAAATATACATAAATATCAGCTCAATCAGTCAGGTTAATGATCAATTGGGAACAAAGGGAGATAATTAGGGACATGGCAATGACAGTGTTTGTGACTGTCTGGTCAGTAGACGGGGTGACAGTTATAGGTTTATATTTCTTATAATGAGGTGAACAGCTCTGAACTATTACGAAGGAATTAGCTCCTCCCTCTAAACAAATCTGTTTCCCTTTCTTGTCCTTTATTAGTGTGAAATTTGAGAAAAATGTTTTTTATTTGCAATTTCTATGTCCTAGAGCAGGAAAACATATACCTGAATATTGTTAATATAGACGATGCTTCATTATGTAAAATAGAAGAGCAATGTAGTATGTATCTATATTGCCAATCAGTGTTTCCACTGTAACTAATTAAACATGCAAAGCAATTAACAGATCCAGCAACTCTCATTAAAATTTCAGATAAATATGAAAATTTCCTATTTGAGGTGCATCAGTGAAATATTAGCCTTGGTGGAACAGATGGTCGATAAGACATTAGGCTGAGCTTTCAAGAGGACCCCAAAACATGATATTCTTGAACATAATGAAAGTCATTTTCTAGCAATCACCTGGAACAATTCCCTTGAAACCAGATGACTGAAAACAAAGCAACATGAGTGACACACACAGAACAATCAGTCAATGCTCAGATCTGATAGACCAAGTATCATCAAAACTTACAATATACTTAACAAATCAAGAGACTCAGATGAATAGATGTTTCATGACTTTTTGTTTTTCTAGCATATTTGCTTAAAAACTCTAAAAATGCAAATTTCAATTAGATCCCAGTATCTTCAATGAATACTGTAGAACATTAAACCAAATCACAGCTATAACTAGCCTTCCAGTTGGAGAACCAATGTAAGGGTAGAAAGTTGTCCCTTCCTTTCCTGTTGACCTTAGTATAGGATAGTCTAGACAAAATGCCTCAATCTACATCTATCAAACAGTCAGAAAATGTTATATATTAGTATTAATGCAAATACCACTTAATCAATCTCCCCACAAAATCCCACTGTTAATTGTGTATCATCCCAGCTTTTAATAGATGGTTTATTATACATTAAATATATGCACCAATACTCAATTCTTGCAGTCAGTGTAATTATGGATGAGAACATTTCTGATAGATCTTTTCTGCATAAATTTATATTGTTAATTTGAGCCACTCTGTTCTTCAAACCAATAGATTGTCTTGTCAGACAAACCTTTCAAGTTGGAGGTAAAGAATAGATTTGATGGATCCCACAACAAATGAGAATAGCAAATTAGCAATAAACATTTTACATAATCTATCAATTTGACATTTTCAACTCATCATTTTAACATGGCTGAGGACTTGATTCTTAATAATGTCATCTGTTGTCAGTGTTTTCCTTTGAATCGATAATGGAATGATCAGTTGATTCACTAATATGATTAAATGGCTGATGAATAGTATTTGAAGAGACTGATTCTGCAAGGTTTCTTGAAAATCTAACTTTGACTGTCACCTACTAGGAATTTGAAAACTTCTAAATATTTTTTTTTCCTTGGAATAAGGCAAGATATGTTTAATGTTAAAGCCCTTCATAGACCCCTTATCGAGTTACACCCTGCAAATGCAATACATGCATGGATCTAAGGGGGGGGGGGATGTGTGTTGGGGGGGTCCAATTTGTGGAGTTATTAAAAAGTATATACTGAAGCAAATAAAAAAATGACTTTGGACTCCCCTCTCCCACCCACCCCGGCAAGAAAACGTGGACCCCTCCATCACCAGCAAGAAATAGGTGTTTTTCATGTTTGGGAATTGGATTTTAACCTTTTTTTTTCTTTTTTTGCTTGTCAAGAAATTTTTGGGTTAGAATTTTTTTTTTGATTGGGATGGACACCCCCCCTCCCCTTTGGAAAAAAATGCCAGATCCGCGCCAGCAATAGTTTATATCACACACTTATGAGTGACATAACATACAGAGGTGATAGGAAGGTCATGAAATTGTACAATTTTTCACTCATTTTTCATTAAAAGTACATTTTGCTTCAAAAAAAGCATGCTTTCTATCCTATTTCCCAAATTTACACATCTTATACACCAAAAACCTCAAATATCTTTTGTGTGCAAATCACAGGTAGACATGCAAATCCCCTGTGTTTTGCAAAGCAAATAATATCTTAAATTTGATGAAAATTTATGAAAAAAAAAGGGAAAATTCCCTAATCTTGCAGCCTGTTTAAATGCTAAAAGTCAAAATCGAAATAAAAATCCTGGCTTTAGGCCAGACATCATTTTAGTTCTAAAGTACAATCTTTTTCACAACCTTAACTGTCAGGCCACACTTTACCATATTTCATCCTCTCTACAACATGTCTAATCAAAAACAACAATAAAATGGTGTACTTTCAAATAAAAGGAAA